CTTAATAATAATGATGATAATGGCAGTGATGATGATGGTGGTGTGGAAGATGGTGAGGATGAGGATGATGATGGTGATGATGAGGATAATGATGAGGATGCTCATGGTGAGAATAATCAGGATGTGATAGTTGGTGATGGTCATGATGGTGGTGATGATGATGATCGTCTTAATAATAATGATGATAATGGCAGTGATGATGATGGTGATGATATGATGAGGACAATGATGATTGTGATGACAGTAATAAAGATGAAGATGGTGAGGAGAAGGATGGTGATGATATTGATGGAGACAACAGGGGAGAGTGAAGTTAGCCGCCCCATGACAAACACACACACACACTCATCACCACTCTGCCAGGTATTCTCCTCCAGCTGCCTCCAGTTCTGGCTCAAGTCATTTCCTCCATCATCCCTGAACAAATGTTCTATATGGAGCTTGGAGATGAAGGAGATTCTGAGATGAGCAGCCACACACACACTCATCACCACTCTGCCAGGTATTCTCCTCCAGCTGCCTCCAGTTCTGGCTCGAGTCATTTCATCCATCATCCCTGAACAAATGTTCTATATGGAGCTTGGAGATGAAGGAGATTCTGAGATGAGCAGAAGGGAGGTGGACTAAGTGACCCCAGGCAAGTGATTTCCCATCTTGGAGTCTGTTTACTTACCTATAGGGGGAAAGAGGTGAGATTAGCTTGCCCTAAAAGCCCTGGGTTGAACAATCTCTTGCATCATTTCCACAGCCAATGTTCGTTGAGCCAGCAAAACTTGCTAATGGGGAGAAGAATTCCAAATGACCTGATGTGAGCAATTAGGGGCATGTGTATGACAGCAGGAGACTGTCAGAGGTGCTCATGACTGAGTACTCATGACTCTGCAATTCAAGAGCACTCAGTGGCTCCCTGTTGTCTGTAGAATCAAGTCACACTGTCTCAGCCCTGCATTTATGCCCTATAGCATCTGGCTCTGTGTCAGCCCTCCCCAAATGGATAATATTTGAGAGTGGTGGGTTTCTAAGTCAAACGACAAAAACCCACAGTGAGAAGCACATTTCACATTATGATCACACACACACACACACACACACACACACACACACACACACACACACACACGGTAAAAAATTTCATAAAACCAAACTGACCTCCACTATGTGCAGTGCTCTTGCATATTTTCTATTCTTTGTTAATTCTATTTTATACATAAAAATCTGGTCACAACATCTTAAATTGTTTCAGATTGGCTAATGGGTCTTGACCTGCATCTGATAAGCACTACTCTGGAATTCCAGAGAACGATCTGTGTTGTTGTTAGAAAAGGGGTAATTATTACTAAGTAGAGGAGCTCAATGCTTTGTTCCTGCTCCCTCACTCCCAACATGGGTGCATACATGAACACACACACACACACACACACACACACACACACACACACACACACCACTCTGCTACATTCCCCTCAGAAAAAAGTTTGAATTGATTGAGGCTTCCCTTTTTCCTCCCCCTGCTTCACCCTGGATCTTTCTCTTGTCTCCACCCCTCTGTCTCTCTTACATGTGGTTTGGGTCCCAGAAGCCAAGATTCTTTAAAGAATTGCTTTAGTCTATGTTGGTTAAGCCCAGGTATCTATCTTATTATGTAGGGCATCTGCAATGCTGTCTGATAGAAATTGTTGGCTCCACTTTTTTCTGCCATTTTCCCCTGGGTCTGTTTCTCCTGGGAAAGACAAATGATTATTCCAGGGCAGTCCTAGAGTAGTGTTTACAGGGTCCTTGGCTGAATATCTTTCCAAAACCATCTCAAGCTCCACAAGTATTAATTCAGGGATTATAGTGCATGAGAAACCCCTGGTAGAGGATGGCTCACAGCACACGATTGTTGCTATTTAATTTCAGCCAATGCTTGCCATATGGGAAGAGGGATACAGCATTGCCAGATGTTCCAAATTTCCAAAAGAAGACAGAAATCTGGATATTTTTAAAAGCAAAATCCCTCAGCTTTTAAATGTTAAAACTAATTCAGATACAAAAAAAAAAAAAAAATACTGCGTGGGCCAAATAAAACCTGTCCATGGGTCGGAGCTGGCTCATTTGTAAGCTCTGGTCTAGGCAGAGGCTGAACAGTACCAACATGAAAGGGGCCAGCAGAGGAAGAGGGCCCCACAACGAGGCTGAAAAGGAGCAGCAGAGAACTGAGAGGGAAGGCAGGGAAAGGCAGCGATGCCACCTCCTCCAGGAAGGCTTCCCAACCAGACTCTCCTGACAGAAGGCTAGGGCACGTTCCGGCTGAAGAACTCAGCATTTACTCCCTCTGGCTAAAACCGGTTTAACTGGGTGGTTGCAAGGATTTCAGGAGAGATTGCCAAGTGATTAGTCCTGTGCCTAGTACATAGTAGGTTCGTAATAAATGGGAACTATTTATGCTATGCAATCAGCTATGATTGACTTATTTGTCCCCCACACATTTATTTAGTGCCTACCGTGTCCGAGGCACTGCTCTAGTTCTGGGAAAATGAGGATAAGCAAAAAGACACAAAGCCTCTCACTGATGCAGCTAATGTTCCTGGAGTGGGGAAGGCAGAATGAGCATGTAAGTGTACAGTTTCAGGTAAGAGGAGGCAATAAGCAGGATATGAGTGTGTGTGGTAGGAAGGGCGTGGTTGTTACTTTTAAAAGATGC